ATAATGTATTCTGAATGCACAGGAAGCATGTCTTGCTATCCTTCAGCCATCAACTGCTAACCTTTCATGTCCTCTCTTTTTTCACATCGGTGAGAGGGATCAAAATCTGAACAAACCAGTGCCTGATAATAGGTCCTGAATATGGCATGGCCCATACTGAACTGTTGACCTGAACTAAGGCTGTTGATTAGTGCCAGAGCCTTATGATGCAAAGTGTTCCCAACACGTGGCGGCGAACCAACCGACACGAGGAAAAACAAAGCAGCACCATCATTGCCTCTTGCAATACATCCCCAATCACCGGCCCCATCAGAACATATCTTCACATATTCAGCTGGAGGCTGTGTCCATCCAACATCAGCCCCCCACCAGTGTAACCGATTCTGAACTGTTGATGTTAAGCATATACCTATAACTCCTTTGATGTATCTTCCGTCGTAGTGCTTCAGCAAACATGTTTCGCTTGCTTCCTTACCATCACACACATGGTAAGGAGAAAAGAATAGAAGGTGAAGGAGAAATGTTCAACCCCCAACTGCATCATGAGCATGCGAGGACGGGAGCATGACCGCGACCGCGCCCGACGCCGTGTGAGCACGCGGCCGCCACCGCCCTGATCGGCCGCTCTGTCCACCTCCGCGACCGCCGCGACCGTCGCGATCGGATCCGGCCTCCCCCGAGGCCGCAGCTCCTGGATCCGGCCTCCTCCAGCTCTTCCCTGCTCTCCTGCACCCGGGGTGTGCATGACGAGGGCATGAGATCATAGCCGTGTTCGGCGCCTTCCCCGGCGCCGGCGACCCCTGCCCCGCCGCTCGCCGCATCCTCGGCCACCTGCGAGCTTCGGACGCCCCTCCCTGCACCGCCGCTTATCTTCTCTGAGCTAGAGCCGCCACCACCTCCTCTGCTCCTGGCGGCGCCCTCCGTCCTGGATCTTCATATGCAGCGGACTCCTCCACCGCACGCCTTCAAGGTCTCTGTGGCCCCTCCGGAGCTCCTGCTGGAAGGGGCGCCGCTGCCTGCGGCGAGCCCCTGCTCGGTCGTCACGGCCATTGCTGTCGGGGAGGAGCCCTCTCTGCCTTCAGCGCTTGCTCCGGCGTGGCCGGGCTCTCAGAGCTCCAAGGAGGTGCTCGCTCCCGACGTCATTGTGCGGGCCTCTCTGCCTTCAGCACAAGAGCAAGAAGTTCATCATCAACGCACCATTTATTACTTCTTGGAGAGTGGTGTCTCCTAGATTGGCTAGGTGACACTTGGGAGCCTCCGACAAGATTGTGGAGTTGAACCAAGGAGTTTGTAAGGGCAAGGAGATCGCCTACTTTGTGAAGATCTACCGCTAGTGAGGCAAGTCCTTCATGCGCGACGGTCATGGTGGGATAGACAAGGTTGCTTCTTCGTGGACCCTTCGTGGGTGGAGCCCTCCGTGGACTCGCGCAACCGTTACCCTTCGTGGGTTGAAGTCTCCATAAACGTGGATGTACGATAGCACCACCTATCGGAACCACGACAAAAACATCTGTGTCTCCAATTGCGTTTGAATCCTCCAAACCCATCCCTTTACATTCTTGCAAGTTGCATGCTTTACTTTCCGCTGCCCATATACTCTTTGCATGCTTGCTTGAATTGTGTGAAGATTGCTTGACTTGTGCTAAGATAGTTAAAATCTGCCAAAGACTAAAATTGGGAAAAGTTAAGTTTTTAATTGGTCAAGTAGTCTAATCACCCCCCTCTAGACATACTTCAAGATCCTACAAGTGGTATCAGAGCTTTGTTCTCCATTTGCTTTGATTTCCATAGCTTTTGGTGTTCATAGCCTTGGTTTCACAACCTAGGAGAGTATGGCGTCTAGCGACGGAAATTATCACCGTAGATGTCCTTACTTCGATGGTACTAATTTTGCTAGTTGGAAGCATAGGATGAAAATGCATATTCTCGGACATAACCCCGCCGTTTGGGCTATTGTGTGTATTGGCTTGCAAGGTGAATTCTTTGATGGGAGAGAACCGAACCGTGAAGCTAGCGCGGATGAGTTGAAGATGCTTCAATACAACACTCAAGCTTGTGATATCCTCTTCAACGGATTGTGCCCCGAAGAATTCAACAAAATCAGCTGTCTTGAGAATGCAAAGGAAATTTGGGATACTTTGATTGATATGCATGAAGGTACCGACTCCGTCAAGGAATCCAAATTGGATGTGCTCCAAAGTCAACTTGACAAGTTCAAAATGAAGGATGGTGAAGGTGTCGCTGAAATGTACTCTAGGCTTGCTCTTATCACAAATGAGATTGCGGGCTTAGGGAGTGAAGAGATGACCGACAAATTCATCATCAAGAAGATCCTAAGAGCATTGGATGGAAAATATGATACCGTGTGCACATTGATCCAAATGATGCCCAACTACAAGAATCTCAAGCCAACGGAAGTCATTGAAAGAATTGTTGCTCATGAGATGTCACTCAAGGATAAGGAGGAACTTCACAACAAGTCAAGCGGTGCTTACAAAGCCTCATGTGAAGCCCCCACATCATCAAGTGAGAGACAAACCTTCAATGAAGAATTGAGCTTAATGGTGAAAAACTTCAACAAATTCTACAAGAGTAGAAGCAAAGAGAGAAGCTCTAAGTCAAGGTCCTACAATGACAAAAGATCTTCTAGTCGAGAGCGCAATTGCTACAATTATGGGAGACCCGGACACTATTCCAATGAGTGTACGACACCCTACAAAAGAAGAGAAGATTCTCCAAAGAGAAGAAGTAGAAGAGAAGAATCACCGCCAAGAGAAAGGAGTAGAGATAATCGTTATGAACGAAGAACATCCCGGAAAAGCAAGGATTCGGAAAGAAAGGATAAGTCATTAAGGAGCTACACAAAATGAAGACATCAAGCTCACCGGCCCCATCAGAACATATCTTCACATATTCAGCTGGAAGCTGTGTCCATCCAACATCAGCCCCCCACTAGTGTAACCGATTCTGAACTGTTGATGTTAAGCATATACCTATAACGCCTTTGATGTATCTTCCGTCGCAGTGCTTCAGCAAACATGTTCCACCTGCTTCCTTACAGTCACACACATGGTAATCAGGTTGGGCACAGAAGAAATATTCTGGTCCGAGGCACCAATGGTACCATTACCTTCGCTGTGAAAAATAACGCCATTCCTGAAGTGCCCACAGCATCAGCAGGACTTTGCTTCTAATCTCCTCCGTACACAGGACGCCAACAGAACTAACAACCAGTCAGGGCCTGAATGCCTCTACAGGCAGGAGTTCCCAAACTCCAGGGTACAACATACAACATGGTGGCGGTCTTCAGAACCATTCCCACAAATGTCGCACTCCACAGGGTAGGTCTCTTCTTATTGCACAACATGCCAACCCAAGATTTTCAAGTGTTTTGTCGCCCCTTCTATTTCTGAGCATAAACATGTCTGCTCTTAACAGTAATTATTTTGAGCATCAGCATACTTGCTCATAGAAAGTACCAAGAAATCGGTAGCATCATGCACTGGTTCACCAACGGGTAGTGAAACAACAAGACCAACGGCTCCACGGATCACAAGTTCCTTACAGACCTAGGAATCTGGCAACTAGTTAGTCACTTAGTCTCTGCGACAAAATGTCGACGACCACAGCAATAGATGAACTCACTGACACACACAGACTCAAGTCATCTTCTTTCTTACCTACAAACTACTTGCACTACGCTGCAAGAGGAAACACATGAGTGAACTGTTTTTTCCTTAACATACCTGACAGTGAACTATTCTTACAAACTAGCAATAGATATCAGCCACGGCTCAAGACATAGTATGAACTGAGAACATACCTGACAGTGAGTTTAATAAGAATACAACTTGCAATACCTTTGTAAGAATGTAGCGTTTAGGTAAGTTACCAAACAATTTTGTGTTGGGATTGAAATGGGGTGCCATAGTTTCGTGAATACAGTGAACAGCAAATAATCCCTAATGCTCAAATTAATAAGAAGACACTCCAGCAAAGAAGGCCTCACCACCAGCCCTAATTAGTCCATTTCTTATCTTTGCTATCAACTATACATAGGTGATCCTAATTGTAAAAGGAATGGTGTCAGTACCATATTAATTAATTAAAATGGTTAACAACCAAAGTGAAATTAAATTCTAAATGATGCAACGACAACCTGGAAAAACAGAATATTCCAAATGATGTAGTGGATTCACGAAGAATAAATTGCAGCATATCTTTCCAAATGATGCAATTGCTTCATGAAAAAAGAATGGATTGCAACAGAACATTTCTGAAAAGCTAACTATAATTTAATCACTAATATAACAAGAGTATCGTGCTCCAAGCTCTTCTGAATATTCAGTTGCAACTTGCTAGTCAACAAGTGGATAATCCAATATAGCCAAAAAATAGAAACAAGACAACTGTGTTTATTTGCTAAGTTTTAGTACTAAGAAGATCACCAGATTAACTCTACGAACGAAGACCTCGATAAAAGGTCAAGTCAATTCTTCAGTTCAATAAACAAAGGCACGAGGAAACTACAATCTTACTATTGAGAAATGAGAAGTCACTACGTGGAGGGGAAAAAAGAACTCCATTCTCCAGTTCAAGAAAACAGGGACATGAGCCAGAGGAATTAGCAAACATTTCAAACACTGATCCAAATGACTTGTAATTTTAGCATCAATACTCACAGCAGCCACTTCAGCCCAAAAGGATATTCATAGAAATATAACGCAACCATAAAACAGTCAGAGCTTCTTGATCATAACTTGCATACATCAAAATGGAACTAGTCACCCATAGTGGACTCAATTCATTCATACACATTGCATCTGATGGGGATACAACCATAAAATAGTCGGAGCTTCTTGATCACAATAACTTGCATACATCAAAATGAAACTAGTTGGCCCATAGTGGAATCAATTCAGTCATACACATTGCAGCAACTGATATACGGGGATACTGACAGTAAGCCCTTTCTGAATCACCACCCCACATAAAAGCTATCAGATAAATGGCAAAGCATTCGCTGCATACCCCTCAAGTGTCGGAAAGAAGGTATGCAAAACTAGAGTTTGTTTGAGCCAAAGATGAGCTGAGTAGAGGTCTCTGCAACAGCAGATAGTCGCAACCAACTTGCCATTGATGTCAACCTGAAATAGCATGTTGCCGCCATCAACGGTAACCAGCAGGACCACATCACCATCCCATGAACCGACCACCACATCCCAATCGCTGTCGAGCTTATCATGGACCCAGATTTCTGCAACCGGTAATTTAACACGGTATTTTAAGGTCCAGACCTCGCCTTCATAATCCTGCAGTGCCCAGATACTAACACTTGTCCACTCATTGTCATGACTGCATAGCCCAAGCATGTCACCAATATCATATAGGTCAGCATAGCCAGGGAAAACTGGAGAACGCATCCGCCAGAACGACTCAGATGTGGTGTCGAATACCATCACCATGATGCCTGATGAGTGCCAATGCAGGCTACCACGGAACAAGACAGATCTGGGGGAGCCTGTGAGTTTCCACAGATCGGGCCTGCCTACGTACCTCAGCTGCTGGCCGGAGCCTAACGAGAAGACGTAGCAGCCATCACACCTCAACATGTGGAGCCTGTGAAGCAATAGCCGGTACTCGCCGGTAGGGATATGCGGGTAGATCCCAAAGATTGTGTACTCGACGGTAGGGCCATAATCCAGCGGGAGGGGAGCATACTGACGAGTGGCAGGGTTGCAAATGGAGAATTGGCAGCCAAAGGAGCTCATGTTGCGGAAGGAGAGGACGAGGAGGCCACCACAGGAGGCACTTAGTCTTAGACAGATGTCCGAGGCGGCGTCAAGTCGCGCCAAGGGCTGGAGCTTGCCGGATGTCCGGTGGTCGAAGGGGGTGATGTATAGAGACGCGTCATCGTCGTCGTTGTCTTCTAAGCTGCAGAGGATGGGGAGGGTGGGCTGGCGGGCATGGTGCGCGAGGAGGAAGTCGCGGGTGGAGGTGGCGCGGCGCCAGGCGGGGCAGACGGCACGACAGCGGATGAGAGATTTGGGGGGCAGGCGGACGAGGATCTCCCAGATGGCGATCTCGTCTGGAATTAGGATGCAGCGGTCGGGAGCAGGAGGATCCGCCATGGCCGGCGGCGGCTGGGAGCAGAGCAAGAGGAGAGTGAGTGCGGCGGCGTCGAGGGGAGTGTGAGATAGGTAGGTCTTCCTCTCTCGTGGACACAGTGAACAGAAATGCCTTTGAGCAGGGCTCAGCCCATCTCGTTGCCGACAGATAACGCTTCAACAGGCTGGGCTTGCTTCTATGCAACGGCCTGGGCTTGCATCTATTTATGTGAAGAATCCACTTAAAAAGAAATGAAGAAAAGGGTACTCCACTAAAAGAAAACTCAAAAAGAAAAAGATTGTGCTAGTAAGTTAATGTACCAGCGATGAATGTTATAACTAAAGTTAAGAGGCGTTTAGGGATTATATAAATGAGTCACTTATGGATCCGTACACGGAGGAGGAGGTCAGGAAAGCTTTATTCAGTATTGGTGATTTGAAAGCACCGAGACCGTACGGATTACATGCTATCTTTTATAAAAAGTTTTGGCACCTGCTCGGAGGAGATCTAACGAAGGAGCTTCTTGCGGTTGTCAATACAGGTACGAGCCCAGAAGGTTGGAACTCTACTACTATCGTGTTGATTCCCAAAGTGGACAACCCAGAGAAGATCACCCGATTTAGGCCTATCAGTTTATGTAATGTGGTTTATAAGGTGATCTCAAAAATGCTCGCAGCACGCCTGAAGGTTTTTCTTCCAGATATAATCAGTGAGACACAAAGTGCGTTTGTGCCAGGGCACATCATAACTGATAATGTCGTAGTGGCATATGAGTGCTTACATACGATGAAGAAGAGAAAGAAGGGGAAGTTTGGAACATGTGCAATCAAGTTATGCTCACCAAATTGGGATTTCATGCTCAGTGGATTCAAATGGTGATGACTTGCGTAAGGTCGGTTGAGTATAAGGTTCAGTTCAACTCAAATGAAACGTTGCCTTTTTCACCTACGAGATGTTTGAGACACGGGGATCCCCTCTCCCCATATATGTTTCTCTTATGTGCCGAAGGACTATCGGCCCTTACTGCTCATGAGGAGGAGGCTGGTAAATTGAATGGTGTGCAGGTGTGCAGAGATTCGCCAACGATTTCTCATTTACTTTTTGCTGACGATTCTCTTATTGTCATGAGAGTAGACGCCCACAATGCAAACACCCTGCATGGGATTTTAGATGAGTACTGTGCAGCCTCAGGTCAATTAGTGAGCGAATAAAAATGCTCCATATTTTTCAGTCCTAACACAAATGTGGAGGTGAAGGCAGAAGTATGTCAAATTCTGAATATTATGACGGAGTCTACTTCAGACAAATATTTGGGTCTACCATCCATGATAGGGGTGGACCGTGTTGACTGCTTTAAACACATAATAGAAAGAATTCAAGCAATGGTGAATGGATGGAAAGAAAGAACTCTCTCATTGGAGGCAAAGAGGCTTTGCTCAAAGCGGTGGCCCAAGCCATCCCAACTTATGCTATGGGTGTATTTAAATTCCCGAAGAAAATTTGCAAGGGAATCACTGATGCAATGTCACAATATTGGTGGGGTGATGAGGAGGATCAACGAAGGATGCATTGGTTTGCATGGCGGAAGATGTGTATTCCGAAGGAGAGAGGAGGTATGGGATTCCGGGATATTGATAGCTTTAACTTGGCAATGTTGGCAAAGCAGTGTTGGAGACTAATTGAGAACTTTGGTTCACACTAGTAGAAAACAGAGCTTTAATACCGGTTCATAAGGGCCTTTAGTGTCGGTTCTGCAACCGGCACTAAAGAGTGGAGACTAAAGACCCCCTTTAGTACCGGTTCGGCACGAACCGCCACTAAAGGCCCACCACGTGGTGTGAGCTCGCGCCGTGGTATCTTTTGAAATTATTTTTTGAAAATTTTGGATTTTTTTTTCGATTTTCAATTTTCTGAATTATTTGATGATTTAGTCTCTAATCGCCCCTCTTAACTACTCAAGTGTGGATCACTCATTCCAAATCGTCTAACTTCCCAACCGGTCACCCATCCTCTCACTCCCCCAGCCTGAGCACGCTTAACTTTGGAGTTCTATTCCACCTACTTTCTAAGTCTGCACTTATTGTTTTCCTGACAAATGTAAGCTGTAAATCCTATTAACCCTCAGCAGTTTAGCTTGAGCATTAGGTCACACATTTCACCATTTGAGTTTGAAACATTATTCTAAAAAAACATTAATTATTTCTTAACACTGATATTTCTTGAATAAGTTTGACCATAGTTTGACCATAGTTTGACCAGATTTGACCAAAATTCAAAAAATTGAAATAATTATTTAGTAACACTAATATTCTTGAATAAGTATGTAGTAACATTAATACTTCTTGAATAAGTAGTTTGACCAGATTTAACCAAAATTAAAAAAAACTTAAATTTGAGCATATCTTTTTCTCCTTTTGGAATTTGAGGATTCTAAAAAATTGCAAACAAGTCGTAATCGGTCAAAATCGGATGCGGTTTTTTGTGCTGAATTTTTTGATATATTATACGTTTTTTTCCGACATCGTATGCAAAAGTTTTAGCCGTTTTACATTTTCCCTACACTTTTTGCAAAACATGTCCAAATTTAAGTTTTTTAATTTTCCTAACTAGTAGATGTAGTATTATAATTACATCTCGAAGAATTTTATTTTTTGAATTTTTTATCATTTTATTTTGTATTTTCCAAACCTGAAATGCCGATACACGGGAGGGGGGGGGTAGAGTTTGAAAATTGCCCTTTAGTTCTGGTTTGTGCCACGAACCGGTACTATAGGTCAAACCCCGTTGGTACCGGTTCGTGGCACGAACCGGTACTAAAGGTTAGCCCTTCAGTACCAGTTTGTGCCACGAACCGGTACTAAAGTTTCAAAATGAACCGGCATTAATGCATAGCCGTTCGAACCGGCACTAATGGTACCATTAGTACCAGGCCAAAATCGAACCGGAACTAATATGTCTCACATTAGGTCCTTTTTCTACTAGTGTCATTATGTGCACGAGTTCTGAGAGCCAAGTACTACCCTACAGGAGATATTCTGAATTGTCAACTGAAGAAGGGGTCGTCCTATGTCTGGCAAAGCATTTGGTCTGGAATTCAAACGTTCAAGAAGGGTTACATTTGGAGAGTAGGCAATCGCTAGTAGAAAAAAGGGCATACGTTCGGGCCAGATAAGCCCATTAGCCCTGGTTCAGTCACGAACCGGGACTAATGTGAGCATTGGTCCCGGTTCATGCGGCTAAAGGCATTAGTCCCAGTTCAAATGAGCCCTTTAGTCCCGGTTTGAGACACAAACCGGGACTAAAGGGTGCGGTGCCCTTTAGTCCCGGTTCATATCTCAAACCGGGACTAAAGATTAGCCCTTTAGTCCCGGTTCATATCTCAAACCGGGACTAAAGATTAGCCCTTTAGTCCCGGTTTGAGACACGAACCGGGACTAAAGGGTGCAATGCCCTTTAGTCTCGGTTCATGTCTCAAACCAAGACTAAAGGTCCCATTTACAAACTCTACCCCCTCCCTCAATGGATCGCCTTTTTAGTTTGTAAAAAGCAAAAGAAAATGAAACAAAACTTCACAAATTAAAATCCTTCGAGATGTAGTTATGCCACTACATCTATTAGTTAGCAAAATTAAAAAACTTAGCCGTAGGCCTGTTTGCAAATTTTTAGAATCCTCAAATTCTAAAAGGAAAAAATGTTATGCTCAAATTTCAGTTTTTTTAATTTTGGTTAAATCTGGTCAAACTACTTATTCAAGAAGTATTAGTGGTACTAAATAATTATCCAAGAATATTAATGTTACTAAATAATTATTTTCAGTATTTTAAATTTTCATCAAATCTGGTCAAACTAATTATTGAAGAAATATTAGTGTTACTAAATAATTATTGTTTTTTAGAATAATAGTTTCAAACTCAAACACTGAAACGTGTGACTTCATGCTGAAGGTAAACTCCTGAGGGTTAATAGGATTAACATCTTATTATTATCAGGAAAACAACAAGTGGAGACTTGGAAACGAGGTGGAATAGAACCCAGAAGTTAAGCGTTCTCAGGCTGGAGTAGTGAGAGGATGGGTGACCGGCCGGGAAGTTAGATGATTTGGAATGATGAGTAGTGATTAGAGATTAGAGGTTAAAGAAAGCAGTGGTGATTAGAGATTAGAGGTTAAAGAATTCAGAAATATGAAAATCGAAAAAAATTAAAATAAAAAATTCAAAAAATAAAATTTTGTATAATGTTTCGTAAAAATGAAAAATTTCCCTTTAGTCCCGATTGATGTTACCAACCGGGACAAAAGGTGGAGCTCCAGACAGTGGCCACGTGGAGGGCCTTTAGTCCCGGTTCGTATAAGAACCGTGACTGAAGGGGGGCCTTTAGTGACGACCCTTTAGTCCCGGTTTCAGAACCGGGACTAAAGGCCCTCACGAACCGACACGAATGGGGGGTTTTCTACTAGTGAATGGAGAAACGATTAATACATGGAATGACTATTGGATCCCAAATAGTGCCTCCAAAAAAGTTTTAACAGTAAGGGAGAACCAAGTACTTACTAAAGCGAATGAGTTAATTGACCCAATCATTGGAGAATGGGATGAGATGTTAATCCGGGAGAATTTCTGGCACATTGATGTTGAACGCATACTACAAATCCCATTATTCCATGTGGAGACAGAGGAGTATGTTGCATGGCATCTCACGAGGAGCGGCATTTTTTCAATACATTCTGCCTATTATAAGCAATGGGAAGTCAATTATGATACATATGACAGCGGTCTGGCCCGCTTCTCCGTGGCACCCCATACAATTTGGAACAAGTTGCGGAGTTTGAGAGTGCCAGCGAAAGTTAAAATTTATATCTGGACATGCTTGCACAATGCCATCCCATGCCGGAGTACTCTTATGAATCGCCATGTTGGAAACTTGTCCCGATGCCCATACTGTATATATGGTGCGGAGGACTTAGCACATATGTTGTTTAAGTGTGCAAGGGCGCAAGCAGTTTGGGAAGCTTTGGGAATCACAG